AGCGGACATATCAAAAAAATCCCTTATTATTCACCTCGACAAAAAAGATTCTTACAATCTAGAAATATTTTCTGGTCTTAAATAACCTACAAAAGGTTGATAAGCCGTAAATGAATGAATGAATCAATATATATAGCTTCATTATCTCTTAAAGTTTCTCCTTCATATCGGATGTTTCCCGTTCATCAAATGAAACGTTCAATTCAATATTCCCTGAAGGTTAGCCGGTTCAAGAAACACTTGAAAAAGGAAGAAGTCACTAACAACTGAAACGTTGTGTTAATGAAAACAAAGAATGGATGAGAGCATGTATATGTGTATCTAATGTAAAAAAAAAAAATGTTAAATCCTTTCCCGGAAATTCAAAGAGATAAAAAAATATTTATAATTTTCCAAAGGAGGCCTTCTCTAATGATTTTCTACATTTTATTTTTTTTGGATCGAATATGACGCCAGTATTCCTATATTATGAATTCTTTTATCTTCTTTCACATTTATTATCTTTTAGATTATGAATATCTGTCTGTTCAAGCCTTGTTACTGGTAGATATAAATAGAGTTTCAGTAACAGAATCTCTGTAAACTTTTATCTTCCAAAATATTCTTAAACATTCCACAAGCGCCGTGGTCTCATTTTTTTTTCATGTATATAATTTATCTAACCACGACCGGAGTGATTTTGCCACGCTTCTAATATCAAAACAAGTTTTTAATGAGAAACTCCTTTGATAAGCATCTGTACTGCGAATGAGTGAAAGGGGGAATCTTAAACAACTTAGCAATTGACTTCAGTGCGATTGATCAGCTAAAAATCAAAGCAAAAAAAAAAGAAAGAAAATCCTAAAATTGCAAAACAGTTATGAAGCATGTTGGTTTATACACGATTTACAATTTCTTCCAATTCTATGTAGTTATAATGAAATAGGTTTTGTTTAGACTCAAACACACAAAAAAAAAATGAAGCAATATATATTTCAATACTAATTTAACTAATGCAACTGATGCGCTCTGGGTACTAATTCTTGAGCAAAATTAGAACATCCTAAATATTAGTCGAAATCCAAACGTTTTCTTATAAAATCATCGCGTATTACAATTGTGCAAAATTTTCCCGTGCTGAACATGTATTCCTGTTCCGTATCTAGTCCCTATCTTTTCGTTTAAAAGAGCAATAGAAAGGTTTCTTACTTTTGATATTATGTTAACTTCTAGAGACTTCACGTTCATTTTTCAGTAGCTAGGCAACTATCGTATTTTCAAACTTACTGACTTATTTATTGTCGAGCTTTTACTTTTATCTTGTATCATAGTGGCGCGTCTACTTTTTTTCTTTATTATTCTTTCTGATCTCGGATGTAGTGACAAGTTTGAATCGCAGTGATCTAACGAAATTCATTCGTTTCCTTTTTATTTAAGTCTTTTGCTTGTGGTGATATGATTCGTTTGTGCGGTCATTGTTAATTGGGTGGAACAATTTCTAGTGTATAACCGAATTTTAGTTTTTCTGTTTTATTTCTTAATCCTTGAAAAGTTTCAATAATTGTGGCAACTAAAATAGAATAGCCCCTTTAACTTGAAGAGAAAATGATAACATAATCAAGATATTGACATTCCACACGACTTCAAATAAAAGGTTAGAAAGGAAACCACATGAATATATTGGACAGAGCGATAAGATCTACTGTGTTTTAGAAAACTATTTTCCTTAAAAATTGTTTTAAGAGAACATTTTCTTAAATTTCAACCGACTGTAATATCGGCTGCTCGGTCAATTGATCCTAAATGATTCTTTATAAGGAAACGACTAGTAATAGCATTATCATCATTATTATTTCTGTGATTATTGAGTGAGAGAACCCCACGCAAACAAAATGACGCCGGGGTAAAAAAAATAATATACCACGCGCAATATACCCATCATGACACCAAGTCCAATAATGACCTACCAATCTTATGCATCACAGAAAAATGCGTGCCATGTGTTAGCACGCACTTGCTGGTTGAACCTCGAGATAAATAATTTGAAGACAGGTAACTGATTGAAGCTGTTATCAAATATGTAGATTTGACACCAAAGTCGCCTTGGCTGCATTATCTTTCAAACTTACAAAACGCAATTGTTTCTATTGCCAGATGTGATGCACCCCACTTGATCCCGCTCATGAGTAGATATTAACTATGCGTCAGTTCCTAGGGGACAAAATAGGTTATAGTCAGGAAATTGGCATGAAAATCTCGTTCATTGAACAGGATATTTGCTGTAGCTTGTCTTAATACATCAGCAAAATCATGCACGTATCAACACTTCCAGTTAATTAAGATCAGAAGATTTGAGAGTCATACCATATATGTTGTTACTGTTATTATTATTATTATTTGTTTTTGTGGATTCCGAGATGAAATTCGGTCTCCAATGAATGACAAACGCAAGGAATAAAGATAAGAAATTAAATGTATTTACACAATAATACAATAGGTATGTTGGAAGTTAATCCAGGAACGGGGTTATATATATATATATATATATATATATATATATATATATATATATATATATATATATATATATATATATATATATATATATACAGTCTCGAAGTAGGACTTCCTTAGGGTCTACGTGATTGTAACTGACTTCTACAAGCGGTTACCTCACACTATTACTCTACCTCCAACTCAATCACAATCTTTGCTCACTCTCCCAATATCTATCAATCTCCCTATCTCTGACTGACTGTGGATATTTAACGGCAGCAGTCTCAGTAACACTCTGGTCGAGTCCACTTATATGAAAAAGGGGAGGACCCCATAACATTATTATTATTATTATTATTATTATTTTCAGTAATTTCTCATGTATGATTTTAATATGAGTTAATTAATGCATGAAGAGCTGGTCTCAACCAACAGCGTTAGGTATCATACAATTTACTTCTCAGTTTTTATCATTTTCCAGATTATTGCAAACGTTCCCAAAGGGTTGCATTTCTGCAAGTTTGCCTCTATTCTCTCGGTTAACGTACCAATTGCACCACCTGTAAATGGGTCCCCATTATTATGAAATTATTATTGTGTGTGTGTGTGTGTGTGTGTGTAGGAGGTACGGTGAAGTATTGGGTAGCGGCTCACAGAGCTGAATTCGAATTCCATTCGAATCGATTACATTGATATACGTGCTAATACCCCAGGGAAAGTTATAAATCATCTTCTTCTCCAGCTATCAGTAATTAGCAGGACAGAATGGGTTCTATAGCCTTGGATGTCAACAGGTCTAGGAGAAAGACAACTCTGAATTCAAAACAGGAGGAAGGTTGTTTGGGGACCTTCTGGCACGTAGTGCACCAGGTCTCTGTATTCGGCCTTGCAAAAAGTGTGGCTGGTTCTACAGAAAGTCTTCACCACTATAATCAGATCATATGTGCGGGTGTCTGGGCTGTCGGTTGATAGGAACTGATTTGCTGATCATCATACGTAGAATACAACAGGAGAGTCCACCATATATATATATATATATATATATATATATATATATATATATATATATATATATATAATATTAGTGGAAAATATACATACATATGCAAAATATATAAATACCCATACATGTATATTTTTATTAAAAATTCCAAGAGGAAGAATCCAGGTAGAACTCAATGTCTAGGACAGAGTAAGGATATAATAAAGGTTTAAACACTAATATTCCACTAATATTAGTGTTTAAGCCTTTTTATATTATATATATATATATATATATATATATATATATATATATATATATATATATGGACACTGAGGTCAAAATCCAACGATAACAAGCCTGAAGATTGAGTTTAAGCATGAAACCCACTTTCGCCGCTGGGTGGTGACTTCAATTATCACTTTTATATTTACTTACGCTTTGTCACTGATAACGAGAACTATAACCCATAAATATAGCATACCTTAAAACTAATTTTATCATATATCTATCTATCTATATATATATATATATATATATATATATATATATATATAGAGAGAGAGAGAGAGAGAGAGAGAGAGAAGAGACAGACAGAGACACACAATATTTATACAAGAAGGATAATTCTTACATTGTGTAACTGAGCAGAATGGTGCCGTTCTGAAAAGATTTGTTTTACTTAATTCCAACCGAGAGCAATGAGATAAAAAGTGAATATTTTTATGCTATTATTGTTTTTATGCTCATGTCGTAATCGTTGTCAATTTTTGTTTTCTTGTAATTCTGGCCATTTTTCCTAGATTCTAGAGCGAAAACGTTCAATATCTATTCCGCTTTTTACTGATTGATATGGAAAAACGCAAGCCCCAACATATCGAAGCGAGACTGAAAAAAAAAGAGAAAAGAAAATGAAAATGCTATTTATTCTAAAAAGTGCAATGATGACAGATTCGAAGAAGGGTTGGCAGGAATAAAATTGAAAAAATATATTGGTCATAGGATTGTGCTAGCATTCCTATGGTAACTGATTTTCGTCATTGGATTTGGGCGCTTTTTTCATTGGATTCTACCCGACAGCATTTACTTCCTGCTTGCAAATCAGCAGTAAAACATAATAATAAATGTTGCCTAATAAACGGTTTACATATGGAAAAATAAAACATTCAATGGCTTGATAGATAGATAGATAGATAGATAGATAGATAGATAGCTCACACATATTAGGGTAGATAGGAATATTCTGTGAGATAGATAAATGATACACATTCAGGTCGATAGCGATACACTAGGTGATAGATAGATAGATAGATAGATAGATAGATAGATAGATAGATAGATAGATAGATCACACACATTAGGGTTGATAGGAATATACTGGTAGACAGATAAATGACAAACATTGAGGTATATAGTGATACACTAGTAGATAGATAGATAGATAGATAGATAGATAGATAGATAGATATGAAGGGACAAAATTAGATAGATAGATAGATAGATAGATAGATAGATAGATAGATATAGATATGAAGGGACAAAATTAGATAGATAGATAGATAGATAGATAGATAGATAGATAGATATGAAGGGACAAAATTAGATAGATAGATAGATAGATAGATAGATAGATAGATAGATAGATAGATAGATAGATAGATAGATAGAAACAGAAAAAGAGAGACATATAAATATATATTTGGATGGTAATGTTAATGGTAATATTATCAAGATATTTCAAGAATTCAAGAAACACTCGGCATTTATTGATCGACAAGCCAGAGCTACCTTCGATTGTAATTTATAACAATTTTCTCTTAGGAAAATGTATTTCTCGAGTCCAGCAACTGTCATCGTTCTTTTCAATACTGTTCTTTTGTTCCAAGTTGTGCGGAATGTTGACACCTTCATTATTTTCTCTTCGGTTTAAATCAGATATTCATTTTGGTTGTTGCTCTTGTTGAAACTCCTCAAGAGACGTAGTTTCTCTTATTTTGTACAGTTCATGTTTTTTGTAATTCGGTAGCGCAAGTCCACAAGGTTTAACGAAGTATCATCCTCACTAAGTCTTACATAACACAGTTGATCGAAATCATTTTTAACCAAAGATCTGATAAACATATTTTATACAGATATTTGATTATATATTTCTGAAATAGTGTGGTACCATTGCATGGCACCAATATCAAAATATTAATCTAACGATGTTATTTAAAGACATGGCACCAATATCAAAATATTAATCTAACGATGCTATTTAAGGAGATGGCCCCAATATCAAAATATTAATCTAACGATGCTATTTAAGGACATGGCACCAAGATCAAAATATTAATCTAACGATGCTATTTAAGGACATGACACCAATATCAAATATTAATCTAACGATGCTATTTAAGGACATGGCACCAATATCAAAATATTAATCTAACGATGCTATTTAAGGACATGGCACCAATATCAAAATATTAATCTAAAGATGCCATTGAAGGACATGGCACCAAAATCAAAATATTGATCTAACCATGCCATTTAAGGACATGGCTCCATTATTAAAATATACAAGCAAGGCGGGGCCGTACAGGCAAAAAATAACACTCGAATAAATTGAACAAAAGTAAATACTGTTTTTATATCAGTCTTCCGTACAATAATTGGTTTATATCAGAGTTCGCATGCAATTAATTATCAGAGCAATCGATGGATTTTAGGTATTAAACCTTCTTGTTCTAAGGTCTTTTTAGTATATCGCTCCTTCTTCCTTGGGTTTTATATTACCGCGGTAACAACAAACAGTATCACATAAGTTTGTAAAGTTCAGCATTTCCTTGTACCCGAACATACACGTTGGGAATGGCTCGGATATTGTGATAAAATATGTCTTCAACCATGCAAACGCAAACTCATTACCAATATTATAGTGAACTATTCATATATTCAGTTTTACCGTATCTTTTTCATATGTCCCGGAAAGGGATATATTTGAACGAAGTAGCTAAGTGGTTTTGGCTACTATAACCAAGTAGAATACGGTAGCAGTAATCGAATGGTACGCGCCGTAGTCGCAGGTAAGAAGTGGCGCAGTCCAATAGGCGTCGTTATAGACTTAGCTCTCAGACTAAGGCTCTGACTGTCGTACCTAAACGTCCGTCGGTATTTATGACGGACACCAGCCAATCATATTCCAGTGAGGGAGAACACAGGTGTGTGCATATTCCATTATATCACTTTTAGAACGATGTCAATCTTGGCTGTCTACAGAAGATTTTTTTTTTATTATTATTTGTCAGTTTCCATGACTTCTTGGGAAATATGACTGACTGGCTTCCTTCACCATTTAGAATTGACAGTTTTCCTTTTCATAAATTGGTTGCTGCTCCAGGCTCGAGAGATCAGTCAATCCTGCTCGAAAACCCGTAGCTGGTTGACATGCAAAAGTGAGGGATTCATGTATTTTCCAAGATTATATACGTAACGGATTAGAGAAGAATTTGAACTCGGATCGCCGCTTTCACTTTACGCGCTGATGACAGTTACGCTACCAGCATATCCATTACTATTCGATACCACATTTTACCAAATAGAGAAATCACCATTCAGCTAGAAATATCTCTTCGGTTACGATACGAAGTTTCTATATAATATATACGCTAGTAACAAACAAATGTTGTTAAATGTTATATTAATTCATTTTAAATTACTTACATCGTAAACTTTCACTGGAAAAAAAAAGTTTATAAAAATAATGATTGCGTTAAATGCTTTCTTTCCTTCGTTTATGAAACTCGTCAAAAAATGTGTCGAATTGAAATAATTGTATTATTTGAAGTAATCTATTTCGATAATTTAGATCGTGTTCTACAAACAAATTGCTACAGAGGACACATGGTGTTTTATATTAAATAATTTAAAATTCTTTAAGTAGTAAGCGTTCATTCAAATATGTTTATGACATTTTTTGATATTTTGATTTGACTATTATTTACCGGGCACAAAAAAAAAACAGATTGATATATAATTTCCTGTTTTGCTACTAATTTTCTGTTTTCTTTCTGATTATACTTTGCTACCAAGAGACTGAAGTAACGGGTGACGCGTCCTTAGCTATAATCTTTATTTGTTTATGGCATGTTTCTCTTTCTCATCAGAAATTAAAACTTGGCCGAGAATCAAAGAGAGGCTATCATTGGAAATAAGGAATGAAGGGAATTGCTGTCGCTGAATGGTTAAGGTATATTTTGGAGTCTACTTTTGGTATATAATTCTACCTTTTCTATATGCCGTCTCTCTTCAGGACGTGGGAGATCATGGCTCAACAGAACTTCTTACTCTTTGTAGCTCTTAGAAGTGTTTGTCATTTTGCTATGTTTCTGTTATACCATAATACCTATTCTATTGTAATAGACTCTCCCACAGATAAGTAGTAGTAGCAGTGGCCAGTGGGGCTCAGTGTTGTTGAGCGAGTCAGTCGATGTCGGACATTGGAGTATCAACCATCACAACTAGATTGCTGCGTCATTAACTCTTATTTCAAGTTCCTAACGTTTTGTGCGTCGAACCTAATTTAGGACGACTTATTGAAATACAAGCCTCCACTGTGAAAACTACTCTACCACAGTTTCCTAGTCCATGTTCTTCCAACCGCCCGCCTAGTAGGTTATTCTCTGCTTTCTTCCGTCTCACTAGCCTTCAAAATGTCATGGAAGTGTTTAGGTTTAGAATTAGACTAGCCAAATTATCTGCTACTTTTCTGTTTCTTATTTTGCTAAGGAGAAAAAGATTTTCATATATATTCCACTGTTCTACTACTAATCGTCTGTCGTCAGCACCCGCTCGCACCCGATCATCGGGATCGTCTTCCTCTTCCTTCTTCACTTTCTACCCTCTGGGGATGGCTGTGAAGGCCCGGCCTACTCCTGAAGAGTCGCGAGCAAGGATTCACAGAAATGTGTAGATGGTGGACGCGACTGGGCAAGTCCGGACCTGCTGGCAGAACGTCGCAAATCCTCTTCATATTGATGGTTGTACTCCAAAGGCATCCTCAACCCCGCACTAGGATAGTCCTACGCTAGGAAGGACGATTTACAGCAACGCTTTCTAAGGTCTCAGGGTCGATTTTGGCCTGTGTTCGACATTCCAACCACCTGAAGAAGTCCGGAGCGTACAACAGCCGAAACATTGTAATAAATATAGCGACAAAGATGAGAACAATAGTCCGAATAATGTACATAATACCTCACCTCAGAAATGTTTTTTAATGTTGAAATTAACTTCAATATTTTATAACCTGAACAGTCTAGTATGACCAAAAAGATGAGGGCAACAGTCCGAACGATGTAAATAGTGTAATTAGTTGAAATACCTCATCTCAGACATATAGACAGATATTACAAAGAGTACATATAATTTTTTTTTTGGTTTGAAATCTGAGTGCATTAAGAAACTGAGAGTTTAAAAGACTTCGTTAGTTTTGATCGTGTTTCGCCGTCAACCTGCTTACCTGAAACAGAGGTCACATGCTAAGAGAAAAAATATCAGCCTGTTTCGGCGATAGAGGTAATTATCAATAGTGAAAAATTACGAGATGAAAAAAAAAATAGAAAAAAGAAAGCCAGCGGTTGTGGAAAACAGCCAATCTTGAATTTCGCTGACGGTTGTCGCGGTTGTTTGTACACAAAGGTATTTACTATGGAAACGGTGGGGTGGGATCTGCTCAGTAATCAAGGTAATTTGGTTAGAGTACAGTAATAAATGCGACATTGTGCCACACCCAAAACCATCTTTTTCTATGAGTCTTTCTCTTTCTCTCCAGCTAGCTACCTTGTTTTCTCTCTTTTTATTCTTCCTTATCTCTTCAAGCACATGCACCCACTCTCTCCCTCTCGCCCCCCCACATACACACACACAAACACACACACAAACACACACACACACACACACACACACATATATATATATATATATATATATATATATATATATATGACAGTGAACATCTGTATATATACGGCGTGTGATTAAAAACTAATCAGAGAGCATCTGCACCGCAGGTTATGAAATCTAAATGAGTCACAAAAGAAAGAAAGAAAGAAAGAAAAGCCATAAAGAAAGAAAGAAAGAAAGAAAGAAAGAAAAGCCATAAAGAAAGAAAGAAAAAAAGAAATGCAATAAAGTAAGAAAGAAAGAAAGCAAGAAAGAAAAAAAAAGGAAAGCTTAATGGTTTATATAAAGAAAGAAAGTAAAACGGCAGAAAGAAAGAAACAAAGAAACAAAGAAAGGAAATGAGTACGTAAAGAAAGGAAGAAAGAAAGAAAGAAAGAAAGAAAGAAGGAAAAAAGGAAAGCTTAATGGTTTATATAAAGAAAGAAAGTAAAACGGACAGAAAGAAAGAAAGAAAGAAAGAAAGAAAGAAAGAAAGAAAGAATATCAAAGAGATAACAATGTCGACATCAAAGGACATGGCCAAGAACAAGGTAACCGATGAAAAAGAAGAAAACGAAACAACTGATAATAAGAAAAAAAGGCAAGGTTTAAGAAGAAAATAGCAGAGGACGAAGTGGAAACTGAGGGAAAAGATCAAAGGAGAATAAACTGGTACAAGAAAATAAATCAGGAGAAAGAGAAAAAAAAAACGAGAAAAAAGGGAAAAAATAAGCTGAGACTGACACGAATAGAAAAAGAAGAAAAGAAGCTGAAGAACCTAAGAAAAAAGAAAATTCGAAACATGAAAGCAAGTATCAAATAAAAAATCAGATGAAAAAAATAGACGAAAACACCTGTAAGGAAGAATAATAAATAGTCAAAAAAAAAAAGTAAAAGAAAAACAGTACAAAAAATTAGCAACGAAATAATGAATTGAAAGAGATGAACACTTAGGAAAATAGGAATAATAATCAACATTGACAAAATGGAAGATGGCGGCGGTGATAAACACGGGTGTGTATATATTAACACAAGGGACGCTATGATGAAAACCCAAGGAAGCGAATCGTATAGTGTATTATAAGCGACATAAAATGAAGTATGCCACAGAGAATGAAAAGAAAAGATGGAGAAAGTAATGGAAAATTAAAAGTAAAATGTAAGGAAATAAGTATTAGATATGCAAGCGGAGAAAAGATGTCCAATAGATGATGGAGAAGGCACAAAACACAAAGGATAGAAAATGTAGATTTATATAAAATTGATAAGATGAAGATTGGAGATTCATCAAGGATAAAAGATAAAGAGGGACAAAAATAGAGAGAAAAGGGACAAATTTTGCAATAATACAAGATGAAAAATATCCAATACGATGTCTTGTATTTTTGTCAGTCTTTTTTTCTTTTTTTTTCTTCGCTGATAATCTCAATTTAGAGAAAGGAAAATCACTAAATTATCTGTAGCACTTTTCTGAGTGCTATATGGTGATATTCTCCTATGAAAACAACTTTGCTTTTTGTCTACTTTGTCTTTCGATGTGCCCTGTCCTTGCAGGACGTTGAAGATCATGGCTTTCTACAAGTTCCTGTCCTTTGTAGCTCTTAACATCTTGTGCCGTTTTGCCATCTCTCCGAAACTCTACTCCGTCATCTATTCACTCAAGCTGACCAGGTAGATTTTGAGTTGATTTCCTCTGTCTCTTTTACTTCCAATCGGTCCTGGGTGCATCACATTTTCCAAGTCCGCTTCCCTAATTATGTACCCTAGAAATTGCGACTCTCTATTGATGTTAAGAAAAAGTGTCCTTTTTGTTGCCATTATCTCTAGAACTTTGTTCACATGTTCGGCCACTAGTATTTTCAGTATCTCTCTGTAGAACCACATTTCTGTTGCTTTAAGTATATTTCTGCGAGGAAATTGTCCAGCATTTACTGCTATAGAGAACTGCTGATATTGCGTGCATGTCTATAGATAGTCGGGGATACCTGTCTACTAGGTCGGCTTGCTCAGGCGCATTTTTGTTTATTATTTTATAATTGTTATACCGGAACGTACCTATTTCTATTGTAAATAGATTCTCCCACAGATAAGTAGTAGTAGTAGTAGTAGCAGTCGCCAGTGAAGCTCAGTGAGTTGTGTGAGTCAGTCGATGTCGGACATTAATGTATCAACCACCACAACTAGATTGCTGCGACATTAACTATTATTTCAAGTTCCTAACGTTTTGTACGTCGAACCTAATTTAGGACCGACTTAGTGAAATACAAGCCTCCACTGTGAAAACTACTCTACAACAATAATAAACACAATAATTATTTTATTAGATTATATAGTTTGTCGTAAGTTGTTAACACAGTAGGACTTTAAGTAAGAAGTAAGTATCTCAACTTGCAGGGAGTTAAATTATTCACCTTGATGGTCACGCGATGTCTTGCCATTTCGAGGGTAAAACTTGTAGATACTTTCTAGTTCTGAAAACTAAAGTTTCGGGCATTATCTTGTTCAGAAAGTTGAAACTAATATTAGCTCAGCCCCAGGGTTTCATTCGCTTCAGGCAGTACTTCTCCTTCGGAAGGGAGCCCAAAATATGAAAGCGCCGAGAGGGCCTTGGGCAATTTTTCAATGCTATCACCAGTAAACTCACTTTAAACTAACTTTGTATCGTATACGGTTGCAACGTGGGCACCCTGATAAATACCTAGTAACGTTTCGACCATTCATGCAGAAAAAGATCTAAAAATGTCTTTTAGAGCATTTATAACATTTTGCATGTAAATACGTGTTTTATTCACCACAAACAATGTCGTTGAAATGACTATAATATTAAAATGGTGCCTCATTTATTATTACAGTGTAACCCGGATATAAGAGAGTTGTCGGGACCGGAAAAGAAGTCTCTTATATCCGGGTTTGGTCTATTTTATATACATTAACACAGGCTTTAATTTGAGACCAGAGAAAATCTCTCTTATATCCGGGTTTCTCTTATATCCGGGTCTTTTATATCCGGGTTACACTGTATTTTCATTTAGATGGGCGAAAATGGCTCACTAGAACTTCCTTTACTTTGCATTTCGTAGCAATATGTGTCTTTTTTCTAAACCTCTCATTCTCTCATCAATTTACACATACTCGTTCATTAGGTCACGCCCTCTTCCCCTGTCTCTCTTGCCTCCAAACGACATGTGGTTGCTATCCCATTCCTCATTATGTATCAGCTGTTTCCTTCTTATTGTGCATATGAGTTTCCATTTTGTTTAAATTTTCCTTAACACTTCCTCGCTGCTTGCAAGCTCCATTCCTGGTTTTCTAAGCATCTTTCTGTAGAACTATATCTCTGTTAGTACAACTTCTCTTCGTCTGTGAGGACTTTTTCAGCATAGGAGGACTGATATTGCATAACAGAGAATGTCTTTGGAACTAAAGATGTACCTGGCGTAGAGGCAGAATTTATAGCACGGATAGTTGATACACTTAACAACACAGAATTTAAATGGCAATATCGTATGAGCATTGCAGAATATGAGGTGTAGAAAAAAAGACATGTCTAAAAACAAGCCCCAAAATATAAAATATACGAAAACAATAGTAGGAAACAATTTACTGAAGCTACTAACCATAAAGTAGAACATAAATTGAAGGCTCGACTAAAAATAAAAAGGAATTAGTCAATATTGTGGAAATGTGGTGTTAATTAGTACAAAATGCAGATATTTTTTCTTCTGCTAAAAGAAAATTAAGTGTCATAAAAAAAAAGTCGATATCAACAACACAGTTTTCCCGGTTCTTTTTCTTCTCTTCCTGTCGCCTAGTACACAACTTTTAAATGAAATCTCACTTCTTTGCACACAAAGATATCGGCGTGGTCCACCCACGGTCTGTAAAACACCTTTGTGGAGAGGAGGGTAAGTAAGTATAGCTCAAGAAATTCTTCTTTTTTGGATCTTCATCGAACTAAAGAACGTCGAGTGAGAAACAACTGAGTGACCAAATGAATATGCCTTTGATACACTCAGAACAAATAATTCTTCCACACTCTGTTACCTGTTGTGTTTTAGTGGCATTACTGTCTTCTTGGTTTATTTTTATTATAACCTGATCTTTACTCCCGTCATGACTCCAGTGTATACAGGAAGTGTCTCTCACGGCGTGAAGCGCAAATCAAATACGTTCACCATAAAAGATACGATAGAACTTGATTTTTCTTTAGATTTTTCTTTTTCCTTTATTAAGAAAGATGTACTTGTTGGCAGGGAACATTAGCGTTAAGATGGAATGGATAATTGTTGGAATAAGTGTATTTGAATGTAAGTCTTACTTATCCTGTATTAGCCGTCACCTGCATTTAGTGATGGCCAGCCTGTAATCTCTTTCCTTAAGCGGGTCCACACCCATAAGAATGGGTCATTTATTGAAGACCTAATTTATTTATTTTTGATAATTTATATACTAAAATGTCTGGAAACAACTCTTAATTGCTGTTGTTCTCAGGTCCACCCTGACCCGGAGTAGTAGCAACTGTTAGATTCCCAGCAATGAGCAAATAGTGAACCCCTTAACTGGGGTCCATCACTTTGAAAATATAAAAATATTTTTATAGTAAAAATACCAGCGATACTTATATTGTTATTGTTATAATAATAATAATAATAGACTATGCCATACTTAATAAATACTGCGCCTCAGGAGTAGGCAAGAAGTCAGTTGTGTCAGTCGACCTGCTGATCGTTTGAACTCTCTGCCTTCGGGCAGTGAGGAACCCGAAGGAGGCTACGCCGAAGGGAGGATTCACTTTCGGGGAGGTAAACCGACCCTGAACCCGTTTATACGGATTCAATAGGCATATTTTTGGCCGGGCCCACGGGCTCGGAGATTCCACGTTAAAAAGGCCTTGTGCCACATGACGCCCTTCGTAGGGGTTTGGTGACTGAATATCGTCAGTTGAGTCAGTATCGACCGGCTGTTCGGTTGAACTCTCTGCCTTCGGGCGGGGAGGAACCCGAACGAGGCTACGCCGAAGGGCGGATTCTCTTTCGGGGAGGTAAACCGACCCTGAACCCGTTTATACAGGTTCAATGGGCATATTTTTGGCCGAGCCCACGGGCTCGGTGATCCCACGTTAAAAAGACCTTGTGCCACATGACGCCCTCGTGGGGGGGTGACTGAATATCGTCAGTTGAGTCAGTAGTTCAAGTCGAGTCAGAGGCAGTCCGAAACAGAGTCCCATTCAGACAATGACTGCAAGACATTGGAATATTGATACTGGTCGAGACTACATTGTTCTTTCTACTAAACCTGATTGTGCATACTAACACTTCTACTTCTCTGTATATATTCTTGTTTGTAATATATCTGTGTTATTCCATACCTGTGTTCGAGTTCTTCTTTATTGGTTCTACCTTGGACTATCACCGTGGTACAAGGAACCGGACCATAACACTTATTTGAAAAAAATATGACTAGAAATACATTTTTGAAAAAAAAATAACTATCAACAACACATTTTTGAAGAGAAAAAATACCAGCAATGCATTTAACTCTCGGAAAAACCCTCTTTACAAAAATACCTCAATGAAAGCTGATCTTCAAAGGGATTTCTTAAAAATAATGCATATTCTATTCATACAACCTATTCTAAAAATCTTGTCAACACTAAATAATCTATTGAGGTACATATGTCGTAAAACAAAATAAACTAAACCAAATTGACACAGTTTCTCATTAACAGATTCCTTAATATATGATCAAACTCATTGTACTAGGAATGGTCTTGGAAGA